TGCAATGGATTCAAATTGCCTGCAAAATCAACAAAAATGCCTCCAAGTCTTCAAGCATTCTTCAATGCCTTCTGTAAACAACAAAAAAGTAAACTTTGTATATATTCACAAAATTTCGTGTACAGCGTGTAGTTCAAGATGCAGGTACAAAATCTCTGTGTAGTCCTCTGATTCTTCACTAACGTTATCCATTCAAGTGCCTCCGGGATTCAGATAGCGTAGCCTCCGGGATTCAATTGGCGCGTGCCTCCGGGATTCAAGTGGCGTAGCTTCCGTGATTCAATTGGCGTGACTTTTAACAACAAACGTCAAGAATTTAGAAATAATCAACCCTGCAATGGATTCAAATTGCCTGCAAAATCAACAAAAATGCCTTCAAGTCTTCAAGCGTTCTTCAATGCCTTCAACCTTTTCAAATGCTCTCAACTCCTCAAGTCTTCAAGTTGCTCAATGCCTTCAAGCTCTCAAGCCTTCATGTTGTTTTCAATGTATTTAATGTGTGATTTAAAGAATGAAATTGAGGTTCTATTTATAGTGAAGTTTATAACTAAAATCCCTCAACAAACTCCACTAATATTTATTTAATTAAATTAATTAATTATCTACTAAAATGAACCTTGCCAAAACTATAAGGCCATCTCAACTCGTGCCAAGGAGCCTTGTGGGATATGAGGCAGTTTCGACTCGTGCCGGGGAGCCTTGAAGTAATATGAGGCAGTTTCGACTCGTGTCGGGAAGTCTTGAAGGAATATGAGGCAGTTTCGACTCATGCCGGGGAGTCTTGAATATGATGTGTTTTCAATTCACATTGAGGAAGCTTGAAGAATATTTCCTCCATCACATATTGTGGTATAATGTGTTGAGGCACATTCTTCTCTAGCATATGGGTTGATTTGAGGAATTTTCATCTTCATTCCTTGGTTAGTTGGAGTAATATGGAACCACTTCGGCACGTAATCCGCCAATGTGACTGGGGCTCGTGCTTTCATATGGTGGCTGTAAGTCCTCCCATCAATAGGGTCCTTTAACATTATCTTCTTAGCCCACCTTTCCATAGCTTGCTTAGGCGATCGTGTTGCAGCACAAATGTGATGTTGCTTAGCATGCTTAATACCATGTCGAGTATCATACTCGGGTTTGGTATCATAAAACTTGATGTTAAGAGGGAATAGACACTTGAGTCGTTTTCTATTTCCCTTCACATTGTTCCTCTCAATGAGTAGCGAAGTAGATTTACCGCCTGAGATGGAAACTTGATTAGCGTTTGTTGTGCCATCTGCAAGTTCAATTCTCCCATGTCGAGTTAACTCCATTACTTTATCCTTAAAGACAAAGCAATTTTCAATTGGATGTCCGACAAGTCTATGGAACTTGCAATAACTCGGATGATCCACCATTGATGCCTCGTGTGGTCGCTTCATTTATGAAAAATCAACGAGATTGTGTTTTAATAGCCCATCAAACATATGAGGAACATTAGAATCCAAGAATGGATACTGCTTGTTTTGCCTTTCCCTGAAAGAAAGTCTTCTACTACCTCGTAATGATCTAGAAGCATCCTTAGACTCACTAGTAGCTTTAGTGAATATCCTAGCTGGTTGAGTATTCACATGCATAACATCCATGCTTTCATATCTCTTAAAGGAATTGCCGCCATTTTCAACGTCATCCTGACTTTTGCCCCCATTGTAGAAGCTTTGAATGTGTATGTTTTGTCCACCATTAGCTGTTATGCTTAACTCTATATCGTGGGCGCGACTAGATAATTCCTCAAAAGTCTTAGGCTTAAACCCTTGGAGGATGTAGGAGAGCTCGAAGTGCATGCCTTGGATGCACATTTCAATCGCGGAACTCTGTGATATCTTTTCCTTACAATTCAAGCATAACTCCCTCCATCTTTCAATGTAAGCGGTCGAGCTTTCACCATTCCTTTGGCGAGTGGTGGTGAGTTCTAAGAAGCCAACAGCTCTTCTTGTGCTATAGAAGCAGGTCAAAAACTCGCGCTCCATGTCATGCCAGCTATCAATGCAGCTAGGCTCCAAGTCAGTGTACTAATTGAAGACAGTACCTTTCAAAGAGCGGACGAACTGCTTGACAATAAGATCTCCATACGTCCCAGCGTCGTTGCATGCTTCCACGAAGTGGGCGATGTGTTGTCTTGCATTGCCTTTCCCATCGAATTGTTGAAATTCTAGAGGTTGATATCCAATGGGCATCTTCAAATCCTCTATCCTTTAGGTGTAAGGCTTGACATAAGTGTATGAAGGTTTTCCCCCCTCGATCTTTCCTTTGATAGCTCCCATGATGAACTCATTAAGCTGATCTACAGGTATCATGCCCCCTGTGACTGGAATGCTCCTGTCCGAACTTGGTATGTGCGAAGTTGATTCCTCGTGCACTATAGTTCGCCCAATGCAAGTTGGTGAGTGCGAGACATCTTCTCCTTGAACCTCAGGTTGTTTCCCAGGAACCCGGCTAGCTTCGTCATTCCTTGTGCTCTCGACCTTTTCAGCTAAGTCGTTGATTCTCTTTTCTTGGTTTTGAAGGAGGGTGGTGATCCCTTCAAGCGCCTTAGTGATGCTTGCAAACTGGTCCTCTATAGTTGTCGCGCTTATTGTCATATGCCTGTATAGATGCATGACCATTCTGGCATGGCTTTCTACATGTTGGACGTCAGCGATGCCGGTGATGAGCCTCCCCTGTTAGCGTTTCCTTTTGGAGATGTTGGACTCCCGCTATCATCAAATCCTTTCAAAGATGTTAGATCCCCGCTATTGGCTGCTTCTTTCGGAGATGTTGGACTCTCACTACCAGCTGCTCCTTTTGGGGTAGCCGACTTCTCACTATTAGCCGCTCCTTCTGAGGTAGATGACTTCTCGCTATTCGCCGCTTCTTTCGGAGATGACGGCATCCCGCTGCCAGCTGCTCCTTTCGAAGAAGTCGACCTCCCACTATCAACTGCTCCTTCTAAAGAGGTCAGCGTCCCGCTGCCAGCTGCTCTTTTCGTAGAAGCCAGCATCCCGCTATCGGTTGCTCCTTTCGAAGATGGTGGACCTGCAACATAGATAGACTTCCTCGGGACGGTAGGGGCTGTTTTGAGTCTTTGAATCATACGTCGAACAATTGACTCAGGCTCTAGCGGTCGCATTCCTAAGCTCCTTACACGGCTCCTAGTTAATGGTGCTTTGGTATCTCGACTAGCTTCAGAACCAGTTGTTGATGAAGACTTGGAACTAGCGGCTTGGGCATAAGACTTCTTGAACATCAAGCTTCTTGACGCCATTCCGATTGCTAGTAGAGTTGCTTGCTGATGTAGATCGATAGTGAAGAGATGAGAGGCAGAGCGGTCTCACTGGGCGTGCCAAAATTTGTAAACAACAAAAAAGTAAACTTTGTATATACTCACAAAATTTCGTGTACAGCATGTAGTTCAAGATGCAGGTACAAAATCTCTGTGTAGTCCTCTGATTCTTCACTAACGTTATCTACTGAAGTGCCCCCGGGATTCAGATAGCGTAGCCTCCGGGATTCAAGTGGCGTAGCTTCCGGGATTCAATTGGCGTGACTTTCAACAACAAACGTCAAGAATTTAGAAATAATCAACCCTGCAATGGATTCAAATTGCTTGCAAAATCAACAAAAATGCCTTCAAGTCTTCAAGCGTTCTTCAATGCCTTCAATGAGCTATCAACTCTTCAGGTCTTCTCAATTGTGTTTTTGGAATGAAAATGAAGGCCTTATTTATAGTATAAGCCTAACCAACATTCCTCAACAAACTCCCCCTTTTAATTAATTAATTATTAATTAGGAAAATGAACCTTGCCCAGAATCAAGTCTAGGTTCATTATTGTATAATCTAATTCAAATTCAAATTAAATTATAATTATCTAATTCAAATATAATAAAATTAATATTATATTTAAATTGTAATTATAATTTAAATTCAAATATGAAATGGGCTTGGGCCAATTAATTAATTAATTCAATAGCCTAATTCAAATTTTAATTGGACTAATTAAATTAAATTAATTTATATGATCCAATTAATTAAATTGGCCCAACAGTTAATCTCAACGTCGATCCACCGACCATTTATCAGTCCATTTGTCGAATTCAAATTTTTGGTGTCTACAAGAAGCTTGTATGATGTATTACACAAACCTATGGGGCGAAGTTGCTTTACCGACTTGGGCTCCGGGATCTTTGGAATAAGAGTAATTATTGTATCCCAGGCAGTGTTCCATTGGCAAAGAAATCTTCTGGTTGCTTTACCGACTCGGGCTCCTGGCAGTGTTCCATTGGCAAAGAAATCTTCTGCAAACTTAATCAGATCCACCCCCATTGTATCCCAGGTTTGCAGAAAAAAACCAGCCTGAAAGCCTTCAGGTCCCCGTGCCTTAAAAGGCTCCATCTCAAACAAAGTACTACTCATGATTTCATCTGGTGAGAATTGCTTGTTTATCCTTTGCCAATCAGATGGTTGAAGACTCGGAAATCTACCCAAAAGCTCACCACGAGGGGCGATACCTTCGCCTTTGAAAAGAGAGACCAAGTAGGTGCTAATATGCTGAATAAGCTGGCTTTCATCCGTAATCAGAATCCCATGCTCGTCTCTTAGGGCCTTAATATTCGAGACCCCTTTCTTCATAGCGGTTGCAACATGATAAAACCAAGTGTTTCGGTCTCCAGAAACAATCCACTCCTCACGGGAGAGTTGGAACCAAAGAAGTTCCTCTTGGAAAAGGATGTCCTCATATTCCTTTTGAAACTTGCGGTCAAGTTTTATCAGGTTCGAGCTTTGATGAGAGGCCAAACATCTTTGAACCCCATTTAATCTTGCTAAAGTCCTCTTTTTCTTATGGAAAATATTTCCAAAAACTGCCCTATTCCACTCTTCTAGTTTCTGGCCCATGCGCAGCTTACTGATTTCCATATTAGAACTAAATTCCCAATTTTGGTTCATAACCTTTATGAACTCCGGGTGGGTAGCCCAAGCGGCGTTAAACCTGAATTTCTTCGATCACTCTAGTTGAAACACTGGGGGGTGAAAGACGGACCAGCAGGGGGGTATGATCTGAACTCACTCTTGGCAAATGAATAACTTCTGCATCGGGGAACCAGAGTCTCCACTCTACGCTACAAATTGCCCGGTCCAATCTAGCGCCCTTAAACGAGGTGGAATTGACGCCTCTAGCCAATGTATATTTCAAGCCAGAAAAACCAATATCGATATGACCTTCCCAGACAATCCACTCGTTGAAACCTGGACAACGAATAGAAGAGAAATTATTCCTATTCGAAATTTCATTACTAGAAACAACCGAGTTATAATCCCCAATAGATAACCATCCGTCATGGGAGTTCAACTCACAACGAGTAATTTCATAATATAGATCCTTCCATAAAGAATGGCAGGGGCTGCCATAAACCAGAGAAAGATTCCTTGAAGATGAGTTATTCTCTGTAACCTTAACTGCCACAAATTGTGGGTGGGTGAATAGGACATCAACCAGAATAGTTTCCTTCCATAGCACCCAAATCCCAACAGAGAAGCCAAATGCCTCAATTGTAACACCCCACTTTTCATAAACTAAATTCCCGAATGCTTAACTTAAAAGATAACTAAACATGGAAAAGATACGATTAATATCTTAAAACAAATCCCAAAAGAGGTGTCACCGCCACAGTCACCACACACGATGACTACACAGGATAAAGAAAGGTACTATCTAGAGCCAAGCTCATCAACTACTACACAGTATCTAAACATCAGAGGTTTTAAACAACCACAACTAAAACAGAGTCTAGACTAACATCTAGCAACTCTAAGCTACGCGCTAATCTATCTCGCTCGCGCTCAACCACTGGGCCCACCTGAAAAGGGTTAACAAATAAGCAAATAAAAAACAACCCGTTAGCACGAATGCTAAGTATAACGCCGCTCAACCCTGTAAAGTACTATAGATATACTTTTGAAAAACATTTGGGCAAGCACACTTAATCTCAAATACTTTGAAATTACTTATACAACAATATCATAACAGGCTCATAAACAACTCTATATGCTCGCAACCTATTCATCATATAAATATACTTTCTCAAGTACTACACTCAAACACGTATCTCATGCTTCAACAAATATCTCTAAACATAGCTCAAATATAACTCATGCTCATCTAATAGATAAAAGATACTAAATAACTCAACAAGCAACCTCATACTGACAATCGTTAGCCAACTTTAGTCAATTAAGCTTTACTCCCAATCACACTAATAGATAAAGAATTAACTAATACTTAACAAATAAGCTCATGCTTTCATGCCAACTCTTAAACAACAATAAAGCTTTACTTCTCAATATACTTTAATGCAAATCGTGCAAGTCACGCAATAAAATAAACATGATGCTTTATATATATATATATATATATATATATATATATATATATATATATATATATATATATATATATATATATATATATATATATATATATATATATATATATATACTCTCGCTCTTATGTAAAAGGAAATATATTTTTCTGTGAAGGTTTCTGTTGAGTCACATTGACTCGCTTTCTCTTCTTTCTCTTGACTGTCTTGACTCGCTTTTCTCTTCTTTCACTTTCTTTCTTTCTTACTTTCTGTTGAGTCGCATTGACTCACTTTTCTCTTATTCCTTTCTTACTTTCTTTTGAGTCACATTGACTCGCTTTTCTCTTCTTTCACAATCTTTCTCATATTTCTCGTTTCTCTTCTTGTGCTAGGCAGGTACTCCGCCGTAGCGAAGTCCTAGCGTACGGTGCAATCTCATGCATCCGTCACATCCGTATCAACGGAACCTCTAACTCGTGGGGGAGGTAGAACCTTCACGACTCGTGAATGGACCTATTCAGGCTCGGCAATATAGCTGGCTTAATACTCAACTCGCCCACAGAACCACTCTCTTGGTTCTTAATCTTTCTCTCTTTCTTTCTTTCTTTCTCTGTGGAATCAGGTATCGTACTTTTAGTGTGCACACCCCTTAACCAGGATTCCAAGCCCGGCGGGTAGTATCCAACCTAGCAACTCAGGAATATCGACCTTGTTACTTCTAAATATCTGTCGGCTCGCAATGTCCATTTCTTTTCTCAAACTTTCTTTCTTTCTTTTTTCTTCCGAAAGGACATAGTTCTAACGGGCCTCCAAACCTCAAACTTCTCACAATACTTATATATAGATATAACTCATGCACTTCTTTCTCATGTAACAAGTTAACTTATGCAAGCTCATGCACATAGTTTCTCAACAACTTCTCTTTTCACACAAATTGAAAATCATATATCATGCAAATTTCTCAATACCACTAGATAATGATTTTTTCAAAATAGATATAGATTTTTGACAGAAAACTTAGGCTTACTAGTCATGCACTTTTACTGTAAAATAATCTCAATTTCTCTTCAACTGTGAATCAAGGAAATAAGGTACTATTCCATGCTTATAACTCCAACACTTAGCAAAACTTCTTAGCAAGTATTTATCATGCTCTTTAAGCTCAAAACATACTTCAAAAGCTAACAATTTCATCTACTATGTAAACAAGGAACTATGCACTAATCCTGCCAAAATCTCAAATACTTAGTAAAACTTCTAACAAATACTAACAAGTATTTAGACATGCTTCTCAATACAAAACAATCAAATAATGATCATGCCTCTCTTCTCAAATAACTAAGCTCAAATATTTCTATTTTTCCTTCACTGTAAACCAGTTATAGCAACTAAGAAGAATAATTCTCAGCACAACTTCTACTGTAAAATAAGCATTTCAACTCCAAATTCAACGAAACTAACTTCTACTAGGGTGTCGTAACGAACCCGAGTGTCCGAACCTCAAGGGCCAACGAGTCCCAGTCCGAACGACACGTAGCTGAGCCACAGAGGGCCCGGTTAGAAACCATTTTGGCCTGGCGGAGCTTGGTGGCGGGGCTTCTTGAGATGCCCCACCAAGCGGCAGCCCTGGACGGCGGATCATGCCATGGTCCACCCTCTGGAGCCGTTTCTCCACTGTGCTAGCCGACGGACCTCCCCGAGGTCCGTTGGCTAATACCGTGAGGCTATTTGGTGCACCAGACAGTGTGCACCAGAGGCCTTCTCTTCCCCTATAGGCATTTTCAGTGCAAGGAAACACTCCCAAAAATTCACCAATCCATCATGGATCGGAAATATCTCCCAAATAGCTCAACCACAACAATAATCTAACATTTCTAAGCATTTAAGTCTCAATCTAGCCATTCACAGAGTCAAAATATAGTTTGGGAGTCCATGGGTTATACCTTTGTTGCTTCTTCTTGTCTTTAACCTCAAGAGCTTCACCCCTATGACCTCTAGTTAGGTCTTCTCTTCACCTTCTAGAACTCCAAGACCACCAAACAACAATAAACATACACAGACACAAACACACTCTTAATATAGGAGAAGAAATAGTAGATATGGAAGATGGAAATGTCTGGTGAGGATGGAAAAGATGGAAGGATGAGATTTGCTTACTGTGAATTCCCTTTCTCTGCTAACAGACTTGGAGTGAAGGAGGCAAATGATGAAGATCAGGAGAAACAAGGTGATATTGTTCTATTTATATGGGTGCAAAACCCTAGGTTACAAATGATTGGATGGAGGGCAAAAGAGTAATTTTGCTTGTTCTAAAATATCTCAAACAAAGCTTATAAAAATCTCATGGTTCACCTTGTATCATCGACCATTGGTCTTAAAAATGATTTTGGGATAACTTGGGGTCAAAAATAGAATTTCTATATAGTTTCTAGTTAAAACACTTGGTTCAGGTTTCACAGGTTCCTTTTCGATTTCACTTAGATTGACCTTTTTGGGTCAAAACTTAGTACATAAATGTACCCAAAACTTAGGATTTTCAAAATAGAATAATCTCAGTGATGAATTTATTTAAAACTCAATTTAAAATATTTAATTCAAACACCGTTTTTGAAATAAAATTTTTGAAAGAGTGAAAATGGCTATTTTGAAATTTATAAAATAGAATTTAGGAAAATTATTTTTGGGTTGTCACATCAACTCTTAACCACTGGTCAAAGACAAGGCTAGAACAAATGACATCTGCATGAGAACTTGAGACCTTAGGTTCCAGCAGGAAGAGGATCGGAGGTTTATGCTTGTGGGTAAACTGCTTCAAGGCATGACGAAATGATCTTGACGACGCACCTTGACAATTCCACACAAGAAGATTCATAAAAAACGAAAGGGAGAAAAACTCAAACGAGCTGGCGGACATTCACCCCAGAGCCAATCCGACCATCCATTCTGTCATCTTCTTCCATTGCATCGTTGAACGAATCATCACAATCAAAGAAATCCAAGCCATCATCAAGCAGAGTGGAAGGTCCTGGGTCTCCCATGTTCGTTGGCGATGCTGGATTATAGGCTCGACGATAGTTCACAACTCAGGACTTCGTTATTCCCTTCCAAGCATTAGACATACCAGGCAATGACTATTTAAAAGTAGCCTTTACAACTCAAATTGATACATTTTAAGAATAAAATTCGTAATCACCCCTTCTCCGTTTTGAACGTATAATATATGAAATTAATGTAACATTTCCATTATGTCACCATTAAGTGGTGCAAGTTAATAGGCCATTTATGGCCATAATGTTGTGGTTTGAAACGGAAGTAACGGTTTCCGTTACTTAACCTATAATGATGGCACGTAGGTGATATATATGTGTATGGTCTTCCCACTGCTCCTGTGACTTGACACTACACCATCTAGTTGTACAGGAGACCAAGTGGTAGACAAAATCCTAAAATTCTTTACTGTTCTTCAAACAATGCAACGAAGATTACAACTATGGATGGAGATGCTTGATCATATGCTTCCGCTATAAGGTTAGATTACCTGTTTTGTTCAGTATATTCTAACAATTAAATCTCTCATTTATCATAATCTGAATTCACTTTGACGTGACCCAAATGATGAGTGGAATCACTGAAAATTATAAATCAAAATGATCGCTTTAAAGGTTATTTTTGTTGGGAAAAAAATAGCTAAAAATGACATTTTAAGTGGTTGTTTCCAAGGGCCCTGAGAAGTTTCTTTTCGTCTTTGGTTAGCTAGATACAATCCTTTTCCTCTTCGTCTTCTTTAACCACATCGGCGTCCGACTCATAATCTATAGATTTCTCCTTCCGACCATCCGCATGCCCGTGCTTGCCCGTTAATGTGTCCATGTATGAGCCCCATGCATTCTCCGACGCTATCTTCACCTCCTCCGGATTGCCTGGACCGGCCAGAATTCCTACAGCCATATCACCGCCATCTTCCTGCATCAAAGTCACCTTCCGCCGGTGATTCGCGGATCTTTTTTTTCTTAACGCTACTATACATTCCAACAAATCTTTGTCTTCCCTTGAGGGGGATTCATCTGCAGAGAGAACCATTGTTTTTTAATCAATCCACACTTTTAATAATGGTTTTAAATAGATAAATAACTTTATTGATCGTATCAAACACACTCCGTACAAATTTGGGAGGGAGTAAATGATGTTTTTTCAATTTTCTTTAGTATTTCGGAAGTGTTGTAATTAAATATTAATGGTGGCCATTATTTTGTAACGTTTGTAACAGACATATTAATGTCTCATTATGTATGCCATTATTATTCTATATTATATATGTGTGTAATCCTTTTATAAGAGGAAGCCATGGTAATGAAATCAAATCACTCCCTTCTCTTTGTCTATTACTTCTTATTGTTGATTCAATCCTGAAATTCACCGGTTAGGAGCTATAGGCCAACGGGCACAAACAACAACATTACAACACGTTATCAGCCGCTCAATCCGGTGAACGGTACTTTTATGAGTTTTCTAAGCCTTATTAGAGATGCCTCAAAATTGCATATATTTGCATAATTATATTCCATTTATATGCTTTTGGATATTATTTGATATGGAATATGTTTATGCCTAATATATATTCAAATTCTACTAGTTTTATATAATAAGGGGATGCACCATATATGTTTTCTATATGCATTCCAGAGATAAATTCACGTTTTTTTTGCAAACATTCTCTTCAAGACTTGTATTATACAATTCAGTTTTTCTGTAATACCTCAAGGCTTTTACCAAAAACAAAACAAAGATTGTTTTTGTCGTTTCATCTGCTGGCTTAAAACCTTTGGCCATTATTCACCGTGGCCGTGGCGCAACTGAGCTATCGCTGGAATCTGGTAGATTCTCGGTGGAGCACCCCATCGAAACAAATAATCAAGGGCTTTGATCAGAACTGATCTTGATAGCTTTGAAAATCAGAACAATTGTATTTAAACTCGCAAAAATGTTTTTGGACTACGTCTAATGATCGAAAAATTTCAAAAATTGCGACTAGTATACTATAATATTTGTATGTTTTTCGAACAAAAACCAAAATCAAAAACCTGTTTTGGCCGTCGATCTACGTTCGGTAGTAGGCGGCGATGGCGGCCCGCGATCGCACGGCGCTCCGGCAGAGGGCTGGTGGAGATTGCGGCTCTGGTTTGAGCCGGAGTTTTCTTCTCGCTTCTATGGCGCTGTGGTGGCGAGCTTTCTGAGTCTTTGAGATGAGAGCTCTGCTATTTCAGATGTGTAGAAGCCAGGGATATGGGTTCGATAATGATTGATGTGTGTCTCGGGCGATGGCGGTAAGAGGCGCTGCTTCCCCTCGGCCGACGACCTTCCTCTCTCCATGCGGTCTGCTTTCTCTCTCCCTCTCTCCTCTACATCCCTTGCGTTTGGATGTAGATTAAAAATATTTAATAAGGGATGAACAATTTGATTGTGTTTTTGACAGAATGAATCCCTAATTTTTATGGTAGAGGGATGACTGATGATGAGGCTACGTTTTCCTCTTTCTCTTCCCATTTTCCATTTACATTTTTCTTAATTTTGGCAAATTGTTTCTTTAAGGGAAAAGTTTTACGAAGTATTTTATTTTATTTTAATAAAGAGGATTGGATCCAAAAAATAGAATCCGCTGGAAGTCAAATTGACTATTATCATTAGGACAATATGATAATAGCACTAGGACAATATATATGACTAATGACAAATTGACTTAATTTTGATTTGGAAGTCAATAATTTATTTGTCAAAATTCGTGTATATTGATGGTGCTAATTTTATCATAAAATTATATGGCATGAGTCTTGAATCTTGAATATCTCAAATGAGTATCAAAACAAAATAATAGTGCATATTTTTAATAAAATTTTGCCCAGAGGTAAACACTTACATCACTAATTTTTTTGGACACCTTTTGGTCTAAACCATCAGTTATGAATATTTGATCTAAAAGGATCTATAGACCCTAAGTAAATCCCTGAAGGATATTTGGTGTATGCATATCTCATTGTCAACTATGATGGTCATATTATTGCCCATATTATTTACGACATTTTTTTTATATATTGGCTATTCATGTCAATTTTGAAATTTGTGAGAAGACAATATTACTCTACTTGTTTCTCTCAATGTCATGAAACAATTATTTAAGATAGACAATATCATTTTTATAATCAAAATCTTAATACAACTTTGTCCGGAAAGCAAATTAAGCAATTTTTGGAGGAAATATTTTGTTGGGGACCTTCAAAATTGAAAAACCAATATGCTGATCCACTACATATCGCATACGCTAGTACAAGATGCATTTCCCTATCTGCGTTAATTTTTTTAGTATGCAACCCTTCTAGCTATATCCCATCATGAGAAATCAACAGTGATGTTGGTTGCATTATAAGATCTTTTCTCGGCATTAGGGGGAGATTTGAAATTTCTAATTAATTAAATGCCGAGAAATTGATAAAAATCTTCAAACCCATGTACTAGCCTTATAGAACCAGAAGTTCAGACATTGAACAAATTATCTGCTAGAAATCTCAAAGAGTGACTAAGTCCATAAAAAATATTTCATATATATTAAGAGTTGAAATCCCCAACTAGGACTAAATATATCTACCATTATGCAGGAAGCATATATTGGTTTAAGAATTTACAAAACTAGATCTAGTATAGAAATTTCGTCACTCTAGAAATATAGAAATTTTATCCTGAAGATATTCGTCTAGAAGGCGAAAACCCCTAGTAAAATTGTAGGT